CTACTGCTTCTGCTACTCCTTCTGCTGCTACTCCTTCTGCTGCTCCAGCTTGCTGATGATGCTGCTGCTGCAGCTGCGACGACGATGCCGAGAAGGCCGACGACAACGCCCATGACTGTACAAATGCGACGACGACCTCTACCACGAACTTTCTCCTCAGTGTTGCGATGTCACTGCTACCAGCAAGCCCACACATCTCGAGATTGTGGCTTCGTCAGGTGCCAAAGAGCTGGAGCATCCGGTGGTACAGGCGCATCGCGGGCAGCGCTCGAGACGTGTCAGCTCGAAGCAATAAAAATTCAATAAAATCTCATCCCGGAGCCAGATCGTCTCCGAGGTTTAGGGCAAATCACGACACTATCAGCATTTGATTCGAGCTTGTACTTGCCGAAGCAGTCTTGTCTTCCACAGTGCATGTCCGGCAGCATGAAAAGACTGTTTGCGCTATCATCGTAGTAAGCGAGATCTTTGCAAGATCCTTCGTAGCATTCGTTTGTGGCAGTGGGCATGGTAGGGTTGAAATGCAGTAGCTCGGAAGAGGGCAGAGCAGAAGAATGGAGATACCAGTGACTGCCAGTGATGGTGATGGTGGTGAGTCTGATCTCGATGACGGTGCGCGAGGCTGGGAGTCATGATTGTAACATGCTGCTTATGACGATGCCAGCCTTCTTGATGATGATGATGATCATGATGATGACGACGATGCTGTTGCCACTGGTACGCTTGATTATGGGGAGGAGCTTGAGGATGATAATGAAGATCATTGTGACAAGAATGATGAGCATGATGCTGAGGATGAGGACGAGGACAGTGTTCAGGGTTTCGTCGGAATAGGAATCGCTAGCAGTGAAAGATGATGGCGCCTGTGCTGGCTAGACAGGTGCTGATCCTGAACCCTAAACCATAAACCCTAAACCCTAAACCCTGGCTGTGAGTTTGTTTTTTGACGATGCAGGCCCTGCTTTCTGCGAACCTCCTCGTTCCTCGCTGGTCGCCCATGCGCCTCATCGTACCGGATGACGAGACGCGGCACTTCTTGCAGGCAGTGGGGGGAGGGGGGCAGGGGTGATTGTTCCAGATGTTTTGTCCGAACTCCTTCCCTTCCTTGCCCTTCTGGGAGTACAGATGTGTGCTAACCCTAAACCCTAAACCCTACTACCCTATACCCTAAACCCTAAGCCCTAAACCCTAAACCCCAAGCCCTATAACTGGCGTGGCAGCCAGAGGGCTCGCATGGTGTGGACAAAGCTCCGAGTTTGTTCCAAAACCCGGAGCATCCCATGACAGGGGCTTTCGTATGCTATCTGCCGTATCGGACCTTCTATTCGGAAGGCATATAATCATATAATATACGATAATACACTACAATATATTATAATATACTATAACATACCATAATATACTATAATATACTACTCTGCGGAGCCAAGCAGCCCGGCAAATTGTGGCCAGTGGCCGGATAGTCTCCCCCTAGAGTCGCTGCGGAAAGCAAGTTGACCCCAGGTGTGAAGATTTTTGGGCCAGGCCGTCATTGTTACTCAGGGTTTAGGGTTTAGGGTTTAGGGGTTTAGAGTATTACTACGATTGCAATGATTTTTTGTTGTAAGAAACCCTAGACACCCCCAAAAAAACTGTGTTGTAATTGTCAAAGCCCCTCTATGAATTGGACCATGCTCGGAATCCTAAACCCTCAACCCCAAACCCCCAAACCCCTAAGCCCTAAACTCCCTAAGCCCTAACTTTGGCAGGAGTGGATCAACAGCCAGCACGCCAAGCTGTCCTGGCCGAGTAGGGCCGAGTACAACATCCAGGCGGCCGAACATCGCCTGGAAAGCAGTGCGGTAATATAGGGGGCCTAAATAATTACCTATACTATTTTGCGGGTTCCTTATCATGATTATAGACTACAACCTACATTCAAGTTTGGGTTTGACATTCGCCAAGTCGAAATTCATCAGTAAAGATTATGTTCTGATGAAGTGCAGGTTGCAGCGTCATGCCAATCAACACCAACCAAAAGATAGCACAGCAGCAGCTACAATTCATGGTGCGTAACAAACCATTGCATAAGTTCACGCATCACAAGACTTGCATATGAATTATCGGCAAGCTAACTACAACTGTTATTGCAAAGTGCTTCAGCACGTGCTCGATGGGCGGATGTAGCATGTTTAAAATGTTGTGCCGTCTTTTCTGACAGCCATCAGATCTCCGCAACGGCATGCGATCCTGTGAAAGCAGTATCAGGGTACAGCGACAAGTGAATCTCACGAGCATGCCCAGAGAGCCCAATAGCCGCCCCTTAATTAAGGAATATACCTTAAATCATGATATTAAGGCCTATACATAATTCAAGGTGTATCCCTTATGTAAGGCCTATTGGGTTCTCTGGGTGTGTCTGTTGCTTGGAAGCGGAGGCTTGGCGAGAGCGCGGCAGCATTCTGCACAAGCTCGATGGTTTGTCGAAAAGTGGATCTCTGCATCGTTTTGCATGTTGGTACTGGAAGACCGTTATACGTCTTGCAATCCGCACCAGGTTAGGTTCGTTGCTCCTGTACATGCGTAACTCCAAAGTGCTCTTGTGCGCGGTTCAAGCTTACCCAAAGTGTGGCTAGTAACACAGCAGTAGTCCTGCTGAGCGGACTGTAAATTTCGAAGACTGAGACGTGGTGGACCTCGCACTTGCGGGCCAAGTAACGGAGTTTCGAAAGTGAAAGGTTAACTTCCCTTCAAGCTACCGACACTTGACCTGGACCTAGCTTCTGTGCAATGCTGGCCACGGGCTGGTGCATACATGGTCCGGTTGCTGCTCCGGCTGTTGGATCCCAGGCTCCTCGAGCTCCGCGGTCCTTTTCGGCACTTTGTCGACTGCAGCCTCCCATGGCCCTCTCCGCCGTTTTCGCAGCGGGGAGCCGTCTGCGAAAGCGGCGCAGCGAGCGGAGAGGGAGCCGTGGTTTGGAGCTCGAGAGCTCGAGCTCAGGCCTGGACACTTTATAGCCCTTTAAGGACTCTTCCTTACATCATCATATTAAGGCTTATATTAATATCTCAATTTAAGGTATCTTCCGTAAATCATAATATCAAGGCTTATACATATATATATATATAATTTAAGGTATATTCCTTAATTAAGGGGCCATTGGGCTCAGGCCTGGAAACCTTGGAGGGCGCCCGGGCCCTGGTGACCGGGGGCTCCCGGGGCATCGGCCTGGCAACGGCCCAGCTCCTGCTCTCGCTGGGTGCGGAGGTCACCATCTGGGGTTTCCGAAGAGAGGGGACCCTAAGATAGTACCCTAAATAGTAGGGTCCCTTTTTATAAGGACCCCAAGATAAGGTACCCTAATTTTCGCAGGTCACCATCTGCGCGCGGGGGGAGGAAGATCTGGCGAAAGCACAGGAGCAGATGCCCCGAAGCTGCCGAGCTGTCCCTGCAGATCTCGCAACGAAAGCTGGCGTTGAAGCACTGGTAGACCAGCTGGGGCCGGAGCTGGATATCCTGGTAAACAACTGTGGGATCAACATCCGCAAGAGGGCGGAAGACTATACAGAGGAGGACTTCGAAAAGATCTTCAATACCAACTTCATGAGCTGTATGAGGCTCTCAAGAGCAGTGCTGCCGCTGCTGCGAAAGGCGACTCCTTCTTGTAGACTTGTCCATATATATATATACATATGTATAGTACATATTCATGTTGATCTTTTTGTTTGAAATCTTCGTATTTATATGTAAATGTGTATATATTTGTTTTTGCATATGAAAGTGTGCAGCATGTGTAGCCTGATGATCTAACGATTTTGTACTCCAACTCACAGTGCGCTTCGACGATGTCGTCACGGTGCAGATATGTTGATGTTGTAATTGGCGGTTCCGAAACCTCTTACATGCGGAAAAAGCCTCAAGCTTGCCCCAAACCTTAAGCCTTAAACCCTAAACCCTAAAACCCTAAACCCTAAGCCTAAACCCCTCAACCGTCTCGTGAGACCCGCCTCCGAAGGCCACCGAATCGAGGGGCAGAGCAGGTGGCGCGGCAATAGTGAATCTCACCTGGGTCCTTGTTGGATACAAATTTTACAGTTTGGTTATAGGGTTTAGGGGTTGGATACAATTTTACAGTTTGGCTATAATATAAACACCCAACAAGGATAAAAAACTCAGCATTTTTCATAGAGCCCCAACAGGGAACCAGTCACCTGTCAGTGACGGATTCGCCCAAACCTGTCTAAACCCTTGCGAGTAGTTGTAGGGCGCTCGAATTGTTTAAGGTATTATCAGTACCTGCCGGCGGCTGACAGAAAGACAAGAGGAACACACTGAGTAATCGTTGTTGGTTCGGACTCGCAGCGGGCTACTGGCGACACCGTGTAAAAGCCAGGCTCAGCCGTTCAATACCCCCAATCAATCCCGGGCCGTAAAGCGCTTCAGAGCAAGAAGCCCTAGGCCGCGAGTCCCCATTCGCGTGCGTGGCTGACGTCAAAAATCGATCTGACTTTCGATGCTCCCGAGCTACGGTATTTGGGGGACCATACAGGCTCGGCTCGTGGGGCCGAAATATAAAGTAGTATGATCATGACGGTAAGGACCCCTGAAAATGGTACCTCCAATGTTCAGAGGCCCCAAAGAGAACTCACTGTTCAGAGACATAGGTCCAACAGCGCACCTCCCTCAGCCTGGGTCATTGCGCTTTTTGAGCTGAGGAACGTCTCTTCGGTTGCTGGAACTGGCCATATCCCTTCAGGACCCTCAGCAACACGGGACCCAGAGAGCCCAATAATTACCCCTTAATTTAAGAATATACCTTAAATTATAGGGGCCTCAATATTGTGATTTAAGGTAAATTCCTGAATTCAGGGGTATTGGGCTCTCTGAGGAGCGGGGTCATTATCATGATCAGCAGCATCGTGCGTTGTCAGAGGTTTCCTCTAGGCGACTCATTTTCCTGAAGATCAGTTTGCTCTCAGCTTTGCCACTTGTTTCACCATAACTGTATTACTGGTAGTGATGATGTAGGTGACGCCGATGGAGGTGCTTTTTGTGGACATCGTGACGGTCTGGTGATGTCTAGTCTAAACGCAGATGTCAAGGCTCGCCAACGACGACGAGGATGATGATGATGATGATGATGACGAAGATGGAGAAGACATGATGATGGCGCCAGTGAGGGTTTAGGCGATGCTTCTGGCTTGGAAGTTTGATGTTGTTCGTTGCCGATTCTCTGCCGTGTAGTACAGTGTACAGCCGTTTCTCGCTGTTCTCGCGGCGTGTTCTTGATGTCCTTCTTGCACTCCTTGCCGAAGACCCGTTTTCATTTGCTTTAATGAGCACGTATACCCGACGCAAATGTCACTATGAGTCGTGAGTCGCTACCGATAATTACTTGATCGAGACCCCCAAATCCTAAACCCCCATTTCCCTAAACCCTAAACCCTTAACACAAAATAAACCCCCCCTCCCCCCAATTTTCCCAATTCTTGAGCATTTGTTGGGGGGGATCCCCCATGCCGCTTCGGAGCCACACAAGATCCTAAGCCCTCCGGGCATCGGAATGTATGGTTAGTACCCCGTCTAGGGTACCCTTTATAGTAGAAACCCTCCTGGCATCGGAACGTCCTTCTACCGGCACAAGAGACTCAACCCCTTAACTCCTAAGCCCTAAGAGGCCTAAAAGCCCCGAGACTCGCCGCAGGCTTTCCGTACGCAGCATCCAAAGCAGCCACTTGCCCGGTTTTTTTCAGTCTTTCTAGTTTTCTGTTTGAGGTATATTCAGGGGATCCCGGGCCCCCAATGTCCGTATATGTTCAAAGTTTAGGGTTTAGGGTTTAGAAGCCCAGGTCGGGAGAAGTACTAGTAACTAGTAGCAGTCCCGCAAAGTTTCCTGAGCTTACTTGACACACCCCGAACCCGATTCGGGTCCCCATCTTAGAGAGGGCAGATGCCTTCCATGCCCTTGCTGCCTGCAAGGCTGTTGGTAGATGGTCTGTATGTGTGTGTGTGTGTGTGCGTGCGCTCTCATGCATATATGTACATGTCAAGTGTCTCCGCGTGTGTCGTGTCTTTGATGTCACTACCTGTATGCAAAGTGTCATATGAGTAGGAGATTAAATATCCGCAGCTGAATATCCGCAGCTGTTACACGGTGCCGGCATGATGCGAATCTCTGGCTTAAGTACCTCACAGTCGCCGCCATGCAGGTGATTGAGGGTTTTTTGTAGCAAGTGTACCGAATGCTTTTCCCTTGGCACTTGTACTAACGATGTATTACTTCTCGGTCCAGATCGACGACTTGCAATGTTCAATCTCCAGTCCTTCTGCCCGAGGCGATGAATCAGATGACCCGGAATCTGGGCTTTCGTTGGATCCTTCAAGCTACCCCACTGACGGAAGCGAATTGGGTGTATGGTACAAGGTTCAGGAGTTTAGGGTTTATGCTTCAGACTCTCAACAAGAGGGCATGGCAGGCATAGGTGCGACGAGAGATCTGATGCTGATGCGAGGAACTTGGCAGTGGAGTGGGCACGCTTTGGAATCCGCGTGAACGCCGTGGCGCCGGGGGCCATCGCCACTCCCCTCGTGGCCAAGGCAGTGTGCTATCCGTAGCAGAAGCTGTGGACACTGCCTTCAGAATGTAGTGCGAAAGAGAAGAACATGTTCAAGCCAATGGCCAAAGCTTGGAAGACCAATCCCACGTACATTGAAGACTTCCGACAACGCAAACCTCTCGGACGCTTGGGCGATGTGATGGAGGCGTCACGGGACTGCGTGTTTTGGGGCGCGGGAGAGGGGTGCGGGGCACAGCATCCGAAGACTTCTGAAGCTTGCATAGCCAAGGTCCAATCTCGTCTGTTTCTCTCTCTTCGCCATTCCTCATGCATGAAACAGGCTGTCGAAACTCTTCGCCTGGATGCAGGTAGAAGGTCTGCACCCTCGAAGGCAGCAACTTCCGCCCCCGGAGCCCGCGATACACCCAAGTCGTTGAAGATGCCCTAGTATGCTCTCTATGTTCAGTATGAAGAGTACAGTAAGCACAGGAAGTGAACGTGTTTCAAACTAACAAACGCGTGAGGCAATCCAAAAGCAGGGCCAAGCATTGCAGTTCGATATTGTGCTCGTCATTTCAAGCATGGTATGAGTTAGAGAGGCTGCAAGGGGTTCTTCTTGCTGCTGCAGCTGCAGCTGCAGCTTTCGTTTTCCTTGATTCTTCGTGGTTTTCACTTTCCTCTGATAATGTGCTTGTGGGTGAATTGCCGTTGGAAGAACACGAAGCCTATTCTTTGCCAAGGCAGGTTCCGATCCTCGTCGTCGTCAATGTCGTCGGTGCCGGCTGTCGTTGTTAGCCTTTGTGGTCAAAAGCTTCTGGCGACATGTGATCGCTTTTCTTTTTAGTCTGAGAAGCCGATAAGCCCCAAGAAGCAAGACCGCCATTTGCAGGTAGCACGGCCCATCGCGTTCTTGGCCAGTGACGCGGCGGCGTTCATCACTGGGCAGACGCCGCTGGGCTCTCCGTTGACTTCGAGCCGTTCTTGTGTTATTTGAAGGTTGAATTGTTCGAACTAGACATATGTATGTATGTGTATATATATGTATATATATGTATATCTAT